TTTTGGCAATCACGAAAAATACGCCCCTTTTGAAAAGATACAGTTGCTCGTCATGATGATGAGTTGTTTAGATGGCATACACGGCGTATACGTAGCTTCTACGGACTACTAGTAAATGCTAGTGTGAAAGTATGCCTACATTTACTTGCACATTTGGCTCATATAGACTTACAAATGTNTATACGTAGCTTCTACGGACTACTAGTAAATGCTAGTGTGAAAGTATGCCGACATTTACTTGCACATTTGGCTCATATAGACTTACAAATGTATGTATGTATATACTAGGGATGTTGCGAATGTGGAATTTTAGACATCCGCGGATGCGAATATCTACCAGCTAACATCCGCATGGCGAGATCGTTGTTTTAACAGCGCTTACAAGCCAAACCAGATGTGTCAGGTTTTTCTAAATCTTATTAAAAAGAATTTTTCATTCTCATTCCTTCGGCACTTTCAGAATTTGGGGAATCTGTCACTTCATCAGCGTTTTTCGATTTAAGTTTTTGTATTTAATTTTTAATACTTTATTCTGCGACTGGTTTTATAAAAATTTGTGCTTATAGCGAGCTAAATAGGTGGATATGGAAAATAAATTATTATTTTCCTGAAACAACAACAAATAAAAAAAATTCTGCTTTCAAGGTCATGGCTGCCAGCCGAAGNAATTATTATTTTCCTGAAACAACAACAAATAAAAAAAATTCTGCTTTCAAAGTCATGGCTGCCAGCCGAAGCGAATCAGAACATTGTTATTTAAAAAAAGGCACCCAGTTTTTTTTTTTTATAAGCATTTGAATCTGAGATAGTTACGTGATTCTTATCTTATTAAAGTTATTAAAGTGTATTTTTATTATTAATTGAGCATTGATTCTCTTTATAGCCAGACGTTGAACATTTCTGCTGGAACCCCCTGTTGAAGGAGCTTACTCTTTGACTTTAAATAGCAAAGAAGGGACAGTTTTACCACAGAAGTTCATAGCCAGTTCATAGTTATTGCCCGGCAAGTAAACAAAATTACTGTTTTTAAAATTTTTGCTAAAAATAAATTCCCCAAAGAGCCCCATTTGAAATTATTGAATCGAATATACATTTGGTTAAGAATTATAGTGTACTCTTTCTTCTCTTGTGTCTGGGAGTTTTTTTAAGATTGGTCCAAAAAAAATCATAGTGAAGAAAGATATGCACGTATTTAAAGCACAGAAAAAATATATATAAAAAATGTTAAAAGGGCTATGTTCTCTCTGACGTACGTCAAAGGTCAAGTAGAAGTGGTAACTTTGTAACGATCTTTTCTTGATCGGATATCCTGAGTGAGAGGTAACTTTCAGCACGTACTGGTTCGGATCTAGCTCGTCGGATAGGAGGGTGAGTCTTTGTTACATCACTCGGATTAAATCGCTAACCACAAAATCTACGTGCTTGGAAATGTAAAATTAAAACATTTAAACCACTATTGAACTCCGATTGAATGAACCCTGAAACTACTAAGACCAACGAAGCTTATGCTGATTCCTTCCTGAGACGATGGTAATCTCATTAGGTCGCCCACCCTACCTTGTGCTTTCGATACCGAAAAACATAGCATATTCTATCGAAAATATTCAAAACTTCTAAAACTTTACATTTTTTTTTCTAAGTAGCACTAGTTTGTTAGACTTTTGTAATATTTTGAGATATCAAAATTTTTATTTCATTTTATTTTTTTTATATATTTATATATATTTTTTTTTGATAGTTATTGACTAATTTTAACAGCAATTATGCCCTAGTTTTGAAATACTTCAGTCTACTGAGTTTTAATTAATTGTCGAGATTAATTTACTGCCACCACATGAAGAAATCTTCGGAGCCTGGTTTTCAGGTTTCTGTAAGTTGCAGGTTTCGGTGTACATCAGGAAAGAACTTTCCCTAGAAGGGATTCCCAATATGTTTTGAATGAGTCCAACGAGGGTAACCGTGTACCTCGTGTCCTCCACTTGCAAAAAAATAATCTATCCCAGACTTAAGAGTTTTATTTTAACTTTCTTTCACTAACCAGATCTTAACTCCACCAGCATCCAAATCAAAAAAGCCGAAATTTTAAGTCAATTGCTCTAGTAAGCCTCGCTCTGTGATTTTCCCTTACGTTCTTTATGTATGAGTATTTTGTATTGTAAATTGCAAGATTGGGGTATATATTTATACACACCTATAGGTGAGCATGGGAATCACTGCACCTACTTGCCACTCTATCACAGGCTTTTCCACTCTTATACTCGTGGTATAAGAAATCGGGTGACTAAAATGACCAGAATATGTACCTTAAGATACCAATCATAACAACTTTTATGACTGCCCATTGATAGCTCGGTTATATAGCAAAAGAAGTAATATGTTTAAAGACATTTTTTTTTTATCAAATTTGATAAATATACATTTGACTAGTTTTGTTACACAAATACTTCCACGACCATATAATATAATATTGGCTACAATTTGCCGTTTTGTTTGACATATATACGTTTTATCGGTGCACTTGCACAACATTCGCATTTGCAAAAGCTCCGCATTTATTACTGCGAATGCAAAAGCGAATGCGAATGTTAAAATAATTAATGCGGAAGCTCCGCAGTTGCGAATGCGAATATTCGCAACAACCCTGGTATATACCAAAGATTATAGCGGTTTAGGAGAATGTGTTAAAAGTGGACACTATGTTTCGTCAGCAACAAATATTTCAGCAACATCATGAATTAAATATTCGACTGGCCCACGCTCCATATAATGAAAAATCAGTTCTTCTTCCCTAGCGTATTATAAAAATATTATGTATAACGAAAAACTTACTCTTCGGAAATGGTCTGAGAACAAAATAAAGTCTGTGTGAATGTCAAATAGCACCATCAATTTTATTCTTCTTAGCTTTCTAGAAAAGTAACCCATTCACACAACAAAAATTTGTAAAGAAAATGTAGCTAACAGAATCCCCTCATGCGAATGGGTTAATATTTTAGAAAAGGGTAAGGGTTCCTCAAGTGGGCACCGAATTTACCAACATTAATACTTTTCAATGATATTCAGGTAGCGCCCAGGTTTGTAGTAAAACAGTACACTGTGTAATTTTTGTTGCAAAATTCCAACTAGTTTTTGTTTTAATCAACGATTGAAAACTTTTGCAGTGTTTTGGAAACTTTTATTTTTCTTTTAAAGTACATAAGTGTCCGAATGTAAAAATTTTTTGGGTGCAGAGTTAAGAAACATTAAACTATATAATGAAATTATTTGCGTTACAGAAATTTATTTTCTTTTTGCTTTTCAATAATTTTTTTATGAAAAATTGAACTTTTAAGTAATTTCTGCGCCTCGTGGACGAAATTTTTTTACAACAACTTATGTAATAAACACTTCTGTATTTATCTATGAAAAAAATGCGTGCATTTCGATATAGTTTGGTCGGAATGAATTTTTAAGTGCCAGCGTGCGGGCCCGACTCTCGCGTGCATGCGAAATTCGAGCATGAGAAATAAAAGTGGAACGATTGAAGCGTGCGTTTCTTTCTTGCGCAAGAAGTCAACATGAACTGCGTGCGATCCAGCCACGGGAGTCGGCCAAACTATATTGAAATGTAGACTGCGCCCGAAAATATGCCATGAAAATTAGATTTTAAATGCTAAGGAAATGCACGCAAATTTAAAATTTTTTTTGTAGCCGCTTATTTGTCGTAGCAGCTTATTTTGAAGCGCAATAGAAGTCACAATAGTAGTGCACTGGAATTTGTGACTTTGCTGGAATAGGCGGGTTGATCAACTACAAAGGTTGGATTTACTCTCAGTTTCCAGATCAAATAGAACTAGTTCGCGCACGGCCTTAGAATCGCGGAATGTGCAAAAGCAAATGTGTAACAAACACAACACAAAGGTATTTTGGAAAAGTACCAGGTCTTAGAATTTGGGAAATCTCCGACTCTATGTTAAAAGGAATCTGCCTTGGAAGGAAATTCAAAACCGAGAGGTGTGGTGGAACGGTTAACCCCAACTGGATATCAGATATGACGCTGGTACACAGACAAACTTTCTATTGAACTGGGTATTTTGACAACGGTATTTCAGGCCGTGCTGCAGGAAATCTCAATTCGTGCTAGATTGTATCTTGAAAAGGGAGCCTTTATAGCTATCTTTTCCGACAGCCGGGTGGCCATCAGGTGCTTTGGCACTCTTCAACACTTAGCAACAAGGGACATGGTATTGCTATGCTGTGTACCAGGAAACTCGGCATTTAAGGTAACGAAGTCGGCGGAGAACTGGCTAAAGAAGGCTCATCGTCTGTACTTGTAGGACTGGACCGTTTTGCAGTTGGTCCTCCTCGAGACTCATAAGCGCAGTGTAGCAGATCTCGGAATACTGTCTATATGAGGAGAGGTAGGGACCTCAGAAATGCTACACTTTTGGGATATTTCTTTGTTAGGAGATATATAAAGTTTTTGAATAGAGCAAAAGTTAAGTTGCTTACTGGTTATTTAACCGGTCATAATCACCCGCGCTCACATGCACCGCATTGGCCTGTCGTCGGTTGCCGCCTGTGTCTTGAGGAGCAGGAGATGTCGTAGTTCATTATGTCTGATTGAATTAGCAACGCAGCCATCGTGGTCGAGTAGTTAGAAATGCACACTCCACTAGGTAAGGTCAAATTTCGATCACTGGGGAGCGGTAAACGCCTTAAACAGACCAGAAGTTTCGGCTATGATTCCGATTGGAGGGATATAATTCTCTTAAATAAAGCACATATCAGTTCACTTTCAGGATATCTAAGATTTCAGATACGTTTTCATACGCACCGAATTGGTGTGACCGCAGAGCTATAATGCTGTCTCTGGTTTGAAGACAATGATACTTATGAGAATATTATCTGTGATTAATCGGCCATAGTCGGGCAAAGATTAGTGAATTCAGGTTTCAGTAGACCTTGCTATTTAAATAACCTTAATTTGTAATGTAATACTCTTATTTTACTGATTTCAGTTGCTCTCATCAAACAAATATACAAAGAGGTCTAAGAAAATTAAGCAAATCCACTGTACCGCCGGCAACGTTAAGAATAAACTGTAAAATTTTAATTACACTAGCGACGAAAATTTGATGTACTAAACATATACATGCCTACAATGTAAAGAAGAAATATAAGGAGCGTCGATGTGGAGACTAAGCAAACAAATAATTTGAAAAGAAAAATAAAAGAATACACAGAGCGCCAACAAACGGTAGCTAAGGTAATTAAAAACAATGACAGTTTACTGTTGACCATTAGCCAGTAGATAAGAAAAAAATGAGAAAAACATAATAGAAAAAGATAAAAGGGAAATAAAATGAACACAGACATGTAAATAAAGGTGCATTTTTTTTATTGAAATACGAGTATTTTGGCCAATTTTAAATAACACGTAAGTACGAAACTGTGTTGAGTAAAAAACCTCTATAATGTGTGGCAATGGAGTGCGTCTAAGCGTATCTAAGCCAGTTATGA